TTTTTTTAATTTTAATTCAATGTTTGTGAAAACTAAAGAGAGTAAGATTTTCTATCGCGTGATTTTTTATTCCAAATTTTCGCCTGCGGCGCTTTTCCTCTCATATAAAACTATATTTTTATGTATATTTAGTCAAATATGATGTCCACAAGAATTTTTTGCTAAAAGTCATATATCAAATTAACGGTATTTTCGTGCTCTTTCTGATGAACATATCTGTTTATATAGTTAATAACGTATTTTTTAAAGAAAAACATATATTTTTATAAAAAAAATTGCCATAACTTCGTTTTTTACCTTTTCTCGCAATGTGTATACATTATATACATAGATATATATATCGAATGAAAGGCCATTCAATCACCTTTTTAGAAAATCGGTTCAATAGTTTTCGAAATATAAGCTTTTGAAAATGTTGAAAATTCCACGTTTAGCCACCCCTATCGCCGCCCCTGTCAATTTGCACCAAAAAAAAAATATGCCGTTAAAATCCGGGAAAGGGGGTGGGCCACGCCCACTTTTTTTTCTCTAGCTCAAAGGTCAGAATTCTTTAGGTGTTCCAGGCAAATACGTTTTACAATACTGAAAATTAAAATAAAACTATTGTTTGCAGACGCAACACCTTCGTTGTGGCGTATCTCTACGGTACGTACGCCTCTTCGCAAATTTTTCCGTTATTGCCGTACAAGTACGCATTCTCACGGGCCTATTAATATGCCTTGGACGCATCGAAATAAAAGATCGATATTTTTATGCATCGATAGTTTTCCGAAATTCCTAATGTTTTCTCCATTTTAATTGTTTTGGTGAGGTCTAACTAGAGACACGATATCGAACAGAATGTATCGATATGGTACTCATTTAAAGTATCTCTTTAAAAATATCGGGTACCCATTAATATCGGATTAAAACGACTCGATATTCAAAATATCGATACCAAAATCCAAAAATATTTATCTTAATATAGGTCTCGTATATGGGCCGCTGTGGTGTAATGGTCAGCAGTGCGCACAGCTGGAAAATGAAAAAACAGCTTCCCATTAAAACCAAATCGCCGTTCAGAGTCGACATAAAACTGTAGGGCCCAGTGTTGCCGTTTTAGCCCTTCGGTGGCTAGATTTAGCTACCACATACTTTTTTTGGCCACATAAATGTAAAATTGCCCCTAGCCCTTTTTTTAGCCCTTTGGAGAATTTACTTATACTTGGCATGAAAAAGTTGTATATGCTTAATTT